GTGATAGGTCACTCTGTGATAATCAGTATCTGATGTTACACAATGGTGTAGGTTATAAATGCCCCAAAGAATCAGTACATACAGAAAAGGTCAACATACGAAGAATAAAACAGCTGAAAACCTAGGCCCAAACCATGCCACTGAAAATGGTTATAAAACAAGGCATTCCTATGTCTAATGAAATAAATGTTCTTGGCCTTGACTTCTTGGAAGATTTCCCTATACGTGAATACTGAAGCAAACACTGAATAGTGCTAGAAATTTATATCTTGGGCACACCATTTTTCAGACAAAATAAAATCAATGTCCCAACTAGTCAGGATTTTTTACTGTTTGTTCGAAAATGAAGTGTCTGTATCTCTGGTCTTCAACAGATTCCAGATCCTGTCATTATTCAGTTCTTGCTGCAGTTTCATTTAGATCTTCAAATCTACATTATGGTCCAGCTAGACCGTGTAAAAAAAGTGATTACAAACTATCACTGCTCTTGAAGCATGGCATGGCTTTTCAGTTACACTGAAACTACATAGAGTTATATTTTGTAATCCATTCACAAAGGCAGGCACTGTAGTACACTGTATTGCTACTAAAATATATATACCTGTTAAACAACCATTTACAAACCACAGTTAAAAGGACCTTCTGATTTCTTTAATCTGTTTTAAAACATCTTATATTTATGAACAGACTAAGATTATGTCACCTGGGCTAGCATGTTTTCTTCAGAGTTAAAAAAAAAAAAAAAAAAGGAAAGACAGTACTATTGTAATATACTAGGGAATTAAATTAAAACCACAACAGGACCAGAACCTAGGACTCCTAATTTAAGAGGCAATCACATTAACTATGTCTAAAGGTTGGACCTAATGATCTCAGAGGTCTTTTCCAGCCTCAATATTCTGTGATTCTGTAAATGGACACTTGTAGGAATAAATGGAATATTTTGTCCTTTAGCTTGAAAAGAAAGGAAGAGAACGGAAGCATTTGCTGTTATATTGAACATACTGTTCTGGAAGAGGTAAAAGAGAGAAAGTTATGGAAGTCGATACCAGCTGTTATCAGGTGCATTTGACAGTTGCACATTGTCTAGTCTGTACCTGCATTTGTGTACATCTATATCTGTTTATTGGCACTGCAGATTTTCCCATTGTTTCTAGCAAAAGGTCACTAGAGAGGCAAATATATGCCCAGTAAGCATGTCACAAAATAAAGTGTGAGGTTTTTAAAATACCATTCTATGTTCATCTAAACCAGATTGTACTATTAATTTAATTCCAAGTTCCTAATTCATGGAAAACTTCAATTAAATAAAATCTACCCTTGAATTTATATTGAATCTAGTGTCATCTCCACTCCATAAACAGTAGAGAGATATCAGAAACAAGATATTATATACTATATACTAGCTTGTTGGGAAGAGTGTTTAAAATACATTTGAAAAAAAGTAAGATAAAAACTTACTAGTCACTTTGGCAAGTTTTAACATAAACTTGATTACAGGTGAGACTAGCTTGTTGGGAAGAGTGTTTAAAATATATTTGAAAAAAAGTAAGATAAAAACTTACTAGATAATGATGCTGCATTTTACTAAATTTGTGCCAAATTTTTCACTGACTTCTTGTGATACCGAGTTTTCTTCCTGTAATTGAATGAATCTTAGGCATTCAAAATCCATGCAACTTCAGCCTCTTTGTATTTGCGTTAAATGGAAAATGTATTGTGCAGTTTTCAGCTACAGACGTTTCAGCAAAATATAGATGCACATGTATATTAACAGACACTTTTTTTTTCTTGTCTCTCAAGCCAGAGTTGAATTGCAGCCTTTCTTGAACAACCACTTGCAGCTAGGACTGGCTCACAGACTCAAATCTAATTCTGTGTCCAGCTCCATCCCTCTGGCTTCAGCATGCTCCTCTCACCCTGGGCCCTAATAAAAATGCTACTAAAAGAAAATACAGGGAATTTTCACCCTAAAGTAAAAGACCTAATTCCAACCATTCTAATAACATGCAAAGAGACACAAGTCAAACAAACAAAAAACTGCAACAAAACAACAAAAACCCACAAGACCACAAACAAACCCCAAAACCAAACAATAAACAAACTAAACCAAAAAAATCTTACATGCATTAGGATGGGCTTCTAATTCTATAAGAACCTGCTTTTCATGGCCAAATGTACCAGTCAAATGAGAACTTCCAAACTCCTAATTACATCCACAGATTGGGAATCTTACTACAGGTCCTGGATTTGTTGTTTTTAAGAACTCAAGTTAAAATTCTAAATTACTTTAGCAATTGCAACATGAGGTTGCACTGGGATGTTTTATAATCATCCTTTTCCAGACAATCTCATTATTACGTTCAGCAATTCTTGCGAAAAGCAGAAAGTTCAGACACATAGAAACAAAACTGAACAAGAGGATGAAATATCCTGCCTAATTTTTCAAAATCTAGAACTAATTTGAGGTTTATCTTATTTCAACCTCATTCTTAATCTACCCTAACTATTTAGTTTTTGGTTTTTTTTTAAAATAAAATACCACCCTCCATAGTCATAATAAACAATTGACCATGGTAAATGGAAGAACTATGAGAAGAGAATCTGACAAAGTAAATAAATAAAATCAAATAAGAGCAAATTCCCACTGCAGGAATGAAAAAATGCAGAATTCTATATACGTCACTGGCATTCTGGAAGGCTAAAGTGTTTTATAGGCAGTAACATAAGCTAGAGAATAGAGGACACTCATGGGCATTTTTATGAAGACAGAAAATTTGCCTTTGGGAAGTTTTCGTGTGTGTGTAAATTTACAGGCTTCCTATAGTTTTCAGGCATCTGCAATGTCTTTCTTTCTTTCTTTCTTTCTTTCTTTCTTTCTTTCTTTCTTTCTTTCTTTCTTTCTTTCTTTCTTTCTTTCTTTCTTTCTTTCTTTCTTTCTTTCTTTCTTTCTTTCTTTCTTTCTTTCTTTCTTTCTTTCTTTCTTTCTTCCTTTCTTCCTTTCTTCCTTTCTTTCTTTCTTTCTTTCTTTCTTCCTTCCTTCCTTCCTTCCTTCCTTCCTTCCTTCCAAAATATGGAACTGTCACTTCAAAACATGGTCTTGCATCACTATGAAAAGTATATTTTATTGCTTTGATTCTCTCTGGCAGCCAGAGAGAAAATATATTTAAAAAGTTATTGTACTTTTTGTCTTGTTAAAGGGATAGCTTGATCTTCCTGTATTGCAACGTCAAACTTGAAGTCTCCTCATCAATGAAATAAAAGTGGCTGGTAAATCACACTTTTGGGCTGCAACAGTTACCATGTCTGGTGCTTAAAGCCCACCTAACATCATAACTGAAGAACAAAGCAACAGTAGGTTTAACCTGTCTAGGCTTTTGCATACATACGTCCATATCAAAAGCCCAAAAAGGAACGTGAAGAAAAAATAATCTATTCTGTGATTTCAGAATATTTTATGATGCATGGCAGAACTAGGCTTGCTATGACTTCATCGTGTTGTGTATAGGTTATACTTGAGCAATTTACAATATAATCATTCTGCAGAAAAGGTTCTGGATATGAAATATGAAAATGTTTCCAGGTGGAAAATATTACTGATGACAATACGCATTACAAACTCCAGGAAAAAGTCCCATTTACCAACTAATATTTAAAAATAGTATTGCTTTGTAAAATTACTTTCTTTGAGTTCATTACAAAGCTCTGAAGATCTCTACAATTTTAGTTTGCATAAAAAATAAATGGAAACATCTTTCCACCAATCTCAACAAATTTTTAAGTCGCAATGAATCTGCTAGCATTATATAAGTTATATATAAAACATAGGAATGGTTATTAGTACTTCAAAGTGCCTCCAGCCCCGTCAGAATTTTCAGATTAAAATACAAATGCATTCAACCATGTAAACACACTTCTCAACAAATATACATATACTTGGAAAATATTTGGATTCTCCCATACTTCTACCTGCAGGACACCACTCAGGCAGAAGCAACTAAACTATCCTAAACTTTTAGATTGAAGATGCTATTCAGATACTTCAGAAGACAGACACAGGAGCTGTCTTGTTTTCCTTCTCACATACTGCCTACTTACATCACTACCAAGACAACACACAGTTTGCCATGAACAACACACCACGTGAAGAAAACTGGTCATTAAAAATATAACCCAGAGAGAACTTGCTGACTCATAACATTGTTTTACACACTGACATTGAAATGTATTCTTCTGTGTGAAACAAAAAAGTATACTTGTGGTGTGTTGAGCTCAGCTTATTTTCACTGTGCTTATTCAATTGAACACTTCAAATAGTAACTGAATCACTCATCGTTAACTCTGTACAAATAATTTCAGTGAAATAAATGGGCACAACAAGGTTGAGCATGTGTAGTCTTATTTGCAGGCTCTTCTAAGTCACCGGTTCATAATGAGTCATCTTCATTATACCCGGATAAATGCTACTGCTAGCAGAATTTTGAAAGTACCTACAAGAATTCATTTTTGCCATTCAAGCTTAACATGCATAGCTTGGTCTTTGAACACACTGGGATGTTTATATAGCTGCACACATAATATACTGAGACAAGGTAAATCCCCACTTTTCTTTCTTGTCTTTCAGGTATTTCCAGTGGTTTCTTTGTGTTTGTCATTCTGTTTGAATTTTGCAATCCTAATTCTCAAAACCATCTGAAGAGTAAACAGAGAGGCTTTGTGACATGAAAAAAAGAGGCATATGAACAATAGGCAGCAAATAATGCAAGTATATTGCATATGAACAATAGGCAGCAAATAATGCAAGCTTCCTTTGCATTTCTTCCTTTAAACAACAACAAAAAAATAGAGAAAAAGCTTTTCTCAGAAAAAAAAGGAAATGCTAATGAAAAAATGTGCAGTCATGAAATTATTTTAAGTGACCAAGAAAAGGCAGTCAGTATCTTTGATAAATACTCAAGCATTTTCTCAGTGGTTTTTCACCCAGTGTTTGTGGGAATTACCTGACTATTTTCAATCCACAGCTGCTGTAAAGGCATCCTGATGGCTCCCATGTCTGACACTGCAACCCATTCTTTGGACTCTTGTCCAGCTTCTCCTGGAGTTCCCTGGAAATAAAAATCATATCACAAAGTAAATCGTGCACTTTCTTTCTGTTCCTCTCTAGATGGCAGCATTTGCCTTAAGGACGTCCCTCTAGATGAACATAACTCAAAAAGGAGTAACAATAGTGGCTCAAGAAAAATGCTGTCAGGGACCAGAAATTCTTTGCTATTTGTTTTGGTTTTATTTTAATAGTTTTCACTGTTTCTTTTGCTGGATTTTGTTTGGAAAGAGGCATAACTTTTCATATCAATAACTGAAGTTGTTTTAGTACAAATAGCTAAAAGCTAAATATCCTAAATATCTGACACAACATTTAAAGCCTGAAAACAGTTGGGCTAGCCTTCCTTTCTACTTTTAAATTCCTTATATTTGGTAAAATGAAATAAAATTCAATATGCTTAAAAATCCCAATCTTGCACATTCCTGGTTTCCATATAGACCATGGAAGAAACAGATTTATAAAAGACTGATTTCTAATGGTGAACACAACTTCTCATTTCAAAATCAAACTTTGGACAATTTGATGTTTGCTGAAACCCTGATCTCCATACATTTAGGGGAAGATCTCACTTCAGTTGCATAGTTTTATTCATTTACAGGGACTAAACAGAGCTCTCTGACTGCAGGCAAGGAGACTCAATTAATAGACATAATCTACACTGCTGGATAGACTACCATATTAGTTTTTATTATATTCCCTTATTACGTATATTCCTGATGTTTGCTCATCATTAGAAACAGCTATACCTTTTGGTAGTCCTTACTCTAGTTTTACTTATCCTTTTACTAATTCATTACTAGACCCCTTACTTCTACAAAATAGTTATACTGAAAATGCTAAATTTTTTGTTTGTGAGAGTATGAAGGTGTGATATCTTTAGTCTGCATTAAATGAAAGAAATGAGAAATACTTAAAATGGGAGAAATCTAATTTCTGATCAATGCTTGCTTTTTTTTTTTTTTTTCAAATAAATGCTAGAATAATACTTTTAAAAAATGTATATAATTAGGTGTATGAAACAGTCTTGTTATCTTCAGGCAGATCATAGATGCATTATACTTCCTTCTGGTAAATTTGTCCATCTGTAGCATTCCCTGCAAGGATACACATTCATAAAGGACAAACAGTCACAATTAATCTGCATTTTTAGTGTATTGCCACATGCACTCACAATAGAAAAAGAGCCCTATCAGTTGTCGCAATTTTTTAACAGACATACATAACTCATTCCCTATTTACTGCCTTTCATATACATTCACTGCAACAGATTTTTTTTTCTAACTTGTCCATCAGCCAGATCTCTAGTGCCAGCTCTCTGTATACCATGAATCTCATACAAACTAGAGGGTTTTTTTAAATGAGCCCCATCTTAATTTTTCTTATGCTTCCTGTCCTCCTCAGCCCAGTTTGCATTTGTCTTTTAGTCCCCTAGAACTTCTTGGCTATTAGTGTTGGAGCTGGCTGCAAGCTGAGCCCATGGATCCTCGGCTGTCACAGCCATGACATTCCCCTGCACAACACTGGCCTGCTTAAATTCTGCATGTCAGTCTCAACTGGAATATATGTCTTAAAAGGCTGCAATGTAAGAGGAGATGTTACCATATTTAAATAAAAAATTCTTAAATATACAGAAAATATGCCAAGCGTTAACTCATCTACGAAAAAAATAATGCATAAAAATGTAATGCTGTAGCAGTTTGATCCAGCCTCCCTATTTTATCTGCTTATCTCAGCTTCATCTGATGAATGCCTAGCCAGTCAAGAATTTATTTTCTCTCTTTCTTGGAGGAAACTTTTGTAATTATTTTTACAAATAGTGTTGTGGAGACTCGGTGGCCAAATGCCTATTGATCATGTGGAAAGGTACATTCTTCTGACTTCAAAGACCACAGTGCTGTCCAAGGAACTAAAACTGGCAGCCAAAATACCAGGGGAGAAATAGATAGGGGTAAGGACAGAAAGATTCTATCTCAGAGTGAGGAAAAGAAACCATCATCAAACTCTGCACTTGAATTACAGCAAAGGTACAAAGCTACTACAAGGTGCCAGACCTACTGGAAAAACTTTTGAAGTAAGAATTATTTAAATAAATGGGCTATAAATCTACAAAACCATCTATAAAGTTAGAAAAGCAGCAGTTCTTTCTTTTGTTGATAGGAACATGTTTAATTTAATAATCAAGCAATCGATGGACATTAAAACAAACGGCATACTCCAGATATTTTCAAAGAGGGCAGAAAAAGTCATATTGAAATCAGATGCCATGTGCATCACACATAATTTCCTCCTGTACTGTACTCCTGTCCTGCCCTGCTTTTTTCCAACTGTAGAAAGCTGTTTCTGTTTCTTCTCCCTCAGTTGATATGATCCAGTTAAATCCAAGCTTTGGAGACACTTGCATGAAACATCAGTGATTACTTGATTTCTCAGCATATAAATCTAACTGCAAAACTTACTATGTAGGACTCTGTTATGAGGTAACTTTCCCCATGCAACTTCTTTGTCTCAGCTGCTATCTGCCCTGGGACCTGCATTAACATAATACTGTCAAAGCTGATCTCCATATAACTTATTAAGGAATTTTTTTTCCCAGAACAACCTGAAAAAGCAACAAAAGGATTAGACGGCCTTTCAACTTTTCAGCAAGCAGCTTCAGTGTAAGTTCAACTCCAAGCAGCTTTTAGCTTCTAAAAATCAAGGCCATAAATAGCTTCTGTTAGATGTGATCTGCTTATAGGGGAAACTCTCTAGCTTGCCATTCTGCCAGCTTTCCAAAACCCTTATCTGGTTCTCAGGACTTTGTCTGACACTTTTACACCAAGCAACATGCTCAGTTCCTAGTCTCCCTTTTCTGCACTTCACCCTGACCCAGGCAGCCCAGGCTGATCTGCAGGAGTGAGCAGAAGGTATCTGTGCATCTGAGCAAAGAGCACAAGAACACAGGGCAAGCAGGAGTGGCAGGAAGCCTTCCTGATTTTTACTAAGTGGCTGAATTAATCAGGACAGGTCATATGGTAAAAGAACTTCATCAAATGAAGCACTGTCTCATTCCATACATGCCTGATTTTGTCTGTGTTACCACCACTTCTCACAGCATGGGACGAAGAGTTGTGCCTTTGTCTCCTCAGTCAGTGCCGAGAGTAATACTAGCATTTCTCACATTTATCTCCTAAGTTTATGCTAACATAAGAGAACCCAAGAAGTGGAAGGGAGGACAGAGGCAGCATGGGTTCTGCCTGCTTCTGTGGGCACAGCCAGACACTGTGAGCATTGCAGCCCAAGTATCTACACAACCCCCCATAAAGCCTGGACTCCCCACTTCAGATGTTTAATTGCTGAAACCCTACTCTGGTATATTACTAAGCAGTCAGAAAAGACTTTCAGCAGCAACTTGCTTCCCTGCTAAGGAGGATGTTGTGATGTGGCATTTCACACAGCTCTTACCTATTACTGGGTGTAAATATCGGTAGACAACTTTGGGGCCTAATTTCCAATTTGACATCATAGAATCTAGAATGGGTTGGGTTGGAAGGAAACCTAAGATCACCTAGTACCAACCCCCCCCGCATGGGCAGGGACACCTCCCACTAGATCAGGTTGCTCAGAGCCCCATCCAACCTGGCCTTGAGCACTTGTGGGGATGGGGAGTCTACAACCTCCCTGGGCAACCTGTTCCACTGTATCACCATCATTACAGTGAAAAATTTCCCCCTAATGTCTAACCTAAATCTACCTTCTTCCAGTTTAAAGCCATTACCCTTTGTCCTGTTGCTACATGCCTTATCGCTCTATCCCCTGGAAAGTCTGGTACTGTGCTAAAGCTGCAGAGAGAGAACGGAGATTGCAAAGTAGCCACCTAATGAGAGATCTTAATATCTGTATTTCTTTTTGCAACTTGGTACACAGGATTGCACTTACCAGACCAGTCTCTACGTCACAGGCAGATATGAGTTTAACACTCTGTGATCTTTACCAGATGCTCTGAACTGCCTCTGGTCTTGGACCTATGACAGATTTGCCTATCCACTTTCAGATGTCACCAGCCTCCACTAGCAATTAAGGGATTGTCTTTCCTTACAGATGTATGGCTTTTACATACTGTTTAGATGACTGACCTTGACAGACCAAGAACTGATCCCACACCATTGTGCTTCCACTGGCCGAAATGGAACTTTTCATGTTGTGAATAGGTTATTTGTGAGATGCTTATTTGGCTCTCAGGTTGAAATATATTAAATGCAATTTGTTTTCTCATTTTTGGTCTAGTTTTCTACTTAAGGTATTTTAAAACATTTACATTACATGAAAAATAAAATTATATGAAATATGCAGTTTGGTTTGCTGGGGGTTTTTTTTGTGTGTGGTTTTGTGTTGGTTTTTTTTAGCCCTTTTTTTTGTTGTTATTGTTTGTTTGTTATTTTAATAATAGAAAAAAAACCATACTGTAGCTTTAACAGAGTGCAAACACAAAGTTGGGTTGTTCTTTCCTGATTGATACTCTTCTTTACCAGGAACAAATATTTCTCACTCCTACTGAACATATCTATCAAAGTACTTATAGCACCATACTTACATGTTCCTTAAGGTCCAAAGTTTCACTTCCCCCCCCACTTTTCACTTAATGAAACAGAAAAAAATCAAATGACTACACCAAGTACCTCTTGTTTGCTATATAAATATGGTATTACTTTCCAGCAGTTCTCTTCCTTCTCTAAAAAATTCTTTCAACATAGGGAACTAATGGTAAAAATTAGAATGTATGATTGCACAAAAACATTAGCTTACTAATAACTGTAGTGATCATGTGATATTGAAATCACAGAAGCAGAAGAAGAATTTAGCCAGATAAACACTAAAGTCATGTCCTATGTCTTCCTGGGAGATTTAATCATAGAGTGCAAATATTAAGAAGGCAGAAGAGTCTGTTTATCAGATCCCGAAGTTTCAAAACAAATCTTGGGATTGTCATGCCATAATAATTTCCATATTCTGAATCTCTTGAGTTTTTAAAAACTGCATTTTAATATCTTGATCCAAGAGTTATTCACAGCAAATTGAGAAGTCTGAGCTTTGCAAAAGACAAGAGCAGCATTTCTGCCAGTAAAAATTTTAGAACAAAGTACAGACCCCACTTGGCTCAATGAATCTTTTTTTTCCCTCCTCTTTTATTTTCCCAAGTGCTTCTAGCTCATCTTTGCCCTGGGACATTATGCAGCAGACTGATCGCTGAAGTTCACATGCTTTTTATCCATTAAAAGCCTCTGCCAGAAATACTTCAGCCCTTCCTGGAGCTGTGACACGGAGGTTGCCAAGAGCACCGCCCGGCTGCCTGTGTTCTCCCAATCCACCAGGTGTCTCAGCAGCTCTCCCGAAGGCAACTCCTGCACCTCCCGCTGCAGGGACACTGACCTGGCACGGTCACCGCTCCTCTCTGGAAAGGCAGGTTCTCGTCTCCACCCCGGGGCGTTTCAGCACGGGTCCCACTGGGTCGTCCTGCTTATGAAACAGTTCCCATGTCCACTATGGCATGGCTTTCCAGGGCAGCCAGAACAGCCAATGAAACTGTAAAAGAATAAACAAACAAACAAAAAAAACCCTTACCAAATGGTAACATAAAGGTTTTTTGATAATGCTAAAAGAGAGGCTTGATACTCCATAAAGGAAGACAACTGTAATCCCTTTTCCCATAAATATGATAACAAATAGTGCTGCCTTGTCCGTATTCCAGCAGTCCCTCGGGCTCTGTGGGCAATAGAAGGATTGATGTGCTCCTGGTCGCCTAACATGAGCAAGTGATCCAGGAGCCCACTTTGGCAACTTGAACTCTTTGCCTTGATGCCTGGAGGTCTCTCTGACACGTAACCACCCCCTGTGACCCACACAGGCTTCAATCAATGGAGAAGAAACCATTGCTCCTAGTAGTAAAAATGTACAGAAACTAATTGGAAATGGAAAACCTTCTTCTGTGAGTCATGATCTGCTCATTTGGGTTCCTATTTTAAGTTTCAGGATTTTCATTAAAATATGAACATATTTTACTGTCTCTAAGGCCATGTCTTCCTGGTGATCTCATGCCAAGTTGCCCAAATAAGAAATTCCTCAGGGGGGAGGTGTAGAAGGACAACTGAAGAGGGTAATTTGCTAGAGAAGGTCAGAAAAGCTTATGCTGACTTTAAAACTCCAAGTTAGTGTTCTCTTGAAGTCCAGTGGTGTGGAAAAATTTGGTTTTTAAAAGATACAGTTTTAGTACTCTCCCACAAATGGCAGACTTTTGGGTATACTAAGAGTCTGCAGCAATTGCCGAATCTCAGGGGGAAAATTCACCCTTGCCTTTTACTCAAATTGATGGGAAGTTGTTTCATGATATATGTTCTAAACCAGGCCTCTGTAGGAATGGAAATTATTAAAAGCCACTCTAGCAAGAACATTATTATGGAACATAAAAGCTACTGCTGCATCCTTTGACCCTATCTTGACAATTTCTGGATAGTTTTGAAATGCAAAAGAAGGAAACATAACAAAAGACTGTGTCACTTCATAAAAACATGATGGAAGATGAAAACCTGCATTCTTACTGTCACATCTTTGTCAAGCAGG